ATGATGGGTAGGATAAAATTAGTATTCTATGGATTGTAAATAAAATGAATCTTGTTCATATGTTTGAATTTTGATTAAAATTTTAAATATTTAACCCAACTGTATTTTTAATGCAAATTATCCATAATTTTACTATGAAAAATGATGTGTAGGATATAAATTTGAAATTAATATTTTATAATTATAAATAGAATGAATCTTGCTCATATGTTTGAATTTTGAGTAAAAATTTAAATATTTTTTCTAAGTATATAACACGACTTTATTTTTAATGCACTCCCCAATACAAACAACCATCTAGTTTTGAACTAACTAAATTTAAAATTTTAATAATTGTAAGAGTCTCTCTTATAAATTTTAAATGGATTTACACTAATCTTCACTTGTGTTTGAACAAAAATACAATAAATCTTGTAAGTTTAACGCAATTACATTAGTTTTAGGGGTTGTTTGACAACAACCTAAAAAGGTATATTTTTTTGTCTTTTTATCTTATTTTGATCACACTACTTCTTATTTGGGAGACATTACCTCTCTATCACATTCCACACTTCTTATTTGGGAGACATTACCACTCTATCACATTCCACATAGGGTCGGCCTTAGCCTTACCATAAGGCTTGGCAAGCCCAAGCTTTAAGCCTTCAAATTTGAGAAGGCCCAATTTTTTGATATAATGTAATAGGCTCATGTGATTCATTATTTATTTTTGAGTACTGCTATTAGCACCTTCCAAAATTCTTTGGACCCCCCATTTCTTTGGACCCCAACCCTAAATCCTAAATTTTAATAATATTTTTTTGGACACCCCACTTATTACCATCATCTCTCTTCTCTCTATGTGTCTCTCGTTCATCTCTCTTCTCTCTATGTCTCTCTTGCTCATCTCTCTTCTCTCTATCTCTCTCTCTGTCTCTCTCGTTCATCTCTCTTCTTTCTCTGTCTCTCACTCTCTATCTCTTTATCTTTTTGTCCCCCTTTCTCTCTCTTTTCTCTCTCTCTTTCAAAACCCCTTCAAAATCCTAGTTTTGTCTCTCTCTTCTCTCTCCAACATTAATCACGTCTAAAAAGTGGTTCCTGAAAACACAATGCATTTACTTGTGGGGTTGGTGTTCTTCGTCGATTAGGATTTCGATGATGTGGGTCTCTTTAGAATTTGCCATTGATTGGGAAATTCAGATGAGAAAGTGATGATTGGTGCAAATTGTAGGAATAGAAAACAATGTATATATATGGAAAACTAATCTCCATAATATTTTCAGAATAGAAAACTAATCTCCATATTTTCACAATGAAAAGCATACTCACCCAATTTGTTCATCACTGTGTAGCCGAAAAAATGTATTTTGTTTAGAACTATTTTGTCGAACGATAATGATCCTGTCAGCATTGTATGTCCGAACAAAATTTGTTCATCACTGTGTAGCTTAAATCCATTCTAATTCACAACTTAAAATAACATGAATTAAATCCATTCAAAATACATAACTTAAATCCATTCCAATTTACTCTTTTCCATTCTAAGTTAGTTTAACAAAGAAAATTACATAACTGACTATCTGCATTAATGTTCAGAACTTATGTATTGAACGAAAGGATTATGTTCGGTACTGTGTTACCGAACATAATTGTAACAGTCAGCAAACCAGTACCGAACAGCTCGAACGAAACAAGAACGACCGAAAACGACCGAGAATGTTAATACAAGACAGATAAACGACTGAGAATGTTGTCCTCGCCCTCCATTGCTCTACACAGTGAAATAAGTGATGAAGTATACGTTATACTTAAAGCAAAACTTTCAAGTTCAATAGCGTTAATGATGGTGATGAAGATGACACATTCAGGATTTAAGATGATTATGAAAAATAATAGATTTAGGGTTTATGTTAATTGGTTATGAAAAGTAATAGGTTTAGGGTTTACAAATATGGAATACGTATAGTTGGAGTTGGAGGTGGGGTTGTGGGTGGGTGTCCAATATTATAGAGTATTAGTTATTATTGATAGGTGGGTGTTCCATTTCATAATGTCTTTTAATGTAATTTTATTTTAGGGTATAATTGTAATAAAAAAAATATTATAAAATGGGAGGTTCAAAGAATTTTGACAGGTGCTAATAGCAGCACTCTTATTTTTTGAATAAAATGGCCCAAACCAAAAAAAAAAAAAAAGGTCCAAAAAAAACAAAAGAACCCAAAATTTTCATAAACAAGGCTTGATTCATCATCAGGTTATATTGTTCTACCCTTTCAATATATATATATATATATATATATTTGTGTTTTATTATTTAGTTTATTTATTATTTTTAAAGAAAACAAATATGTCTAATAAAAAAACGGGCAAAACACCAATAAATCCCAAATGTTAATTTGTTAAACCACTTGGTCCTGCCTTTTATTTTGTAGACTAATAAGTCCTATTTGAATGTTAATTACGTATATACCCATTTATTTAACACGTAAATTTTTTTTGATGAAGGACAAATGTAAGTTTTTACTGATGTTGTAATGACAAAAATACCCCAAAAGCTTACTATAGGCTCTTTTTAAATTTCCCTCCTTTTTCGAACATCAGCAACATTAACTACATCAACAACATCATCAAACATCAACAAACATCATCAACATTGTGAACATCATCAACATCAACTACATCTTCAACATCATCAAACATCATCAACATTGTAAACATTATCAATATCAACTACATCTTCAACATCATCAAATATCAACAAACATCAAACATCATCAAACATTGAGAATATCATCAACATCAACAACATCATCAACATTGTGAAATATCATCAACATGAACTACATCATCAAACATCAGCAACATCAAATAAATCTTCAGCATCATCAAAAACATCATCAAACGTGATCAAACATCAAAAACATCATTAAAACATCATCAAATATCATCAAACATCAGCAGCATCAATGGTTATTAAAATCAAGGGATTAATATGAAATTAAGGGAACCCTAGGTTTCGCCTGTGTCACAAACCATTTTGCTGACCATCACTCACAAGCAGCATCTGTGGCTGCAAATTAAGCTTCGGCCTCCCAATCCCACTTCTCTCCTCCCTCTTTTTACCCCAAGCTTCCGCATCTGTACCGCCATTTGTTGCAGAATCAAAGCCCCCTCGCCTCTCTCGGAGACTATCAAAAAGACCACCACCACCATTAGTACCGAACTTCCTCTCCTCCTCTTCCTTCTTCTTCACCCAGTTCTCCGAATCTGCGTCGCCATTTGACTCAAAGCCCACTCTTCTCTGCCTCTGATTCTCAAATCTCCTTGTCGACGCGACTCATCCGAAACCCTAGAAGACCCCCACTTAGAATTCGAACCCTCATCGCCCCTATTTCTATCGCAACCGTACGATCTGAATCCACTATCGAGCTTGGATCGGTTGGCAACGACATGAGATCTTCGGCGGTGAGGCCTCTGGTTTGGGTGGTCTGAGCCGGTTTGGCAAACTCGGAGAGAGGTATGGCTTGGGGCTCCTTCTTCTTGGTCTTGGTGGCGGGCGCCGCAGCGAGTCAAGGGTTCGGATGTTGATGTTGATGATGTTGTTCAATGGTAGGTAAAAATATAAACTCTATATACAATATATCAAAAACATATATCATACCAAAAATAAAAAGGACTAAATGGTTTAAGAAAAAACACTTAGAACTAACTAGAGCAACATTTATTAAAATGGGATTTATGCGTAATTTTTCCAAAAAAAATATGAATCTGGATATGAAAAAGTTAAGAAAAATAGAAAATCTTATTCAAGTTTCGTTTGGTTTTAAATTTTTGGCTAAAAAGTACAAGAAGACAAAATTGATTACATAAGTCAATAAGACAAAATATCACATTCAAATTATAATCATTACACTTTTTCTCTTACAAAAGTTAAAAAAAACTAAACCAAACAAGACTAAAAAAATCAAATTAAAAAAGTCTCAATACAAAAAAACTAACTAAAAAAGTCAATACCAAACGAAGACTCGCAGTCTAAAAAATGAGCTCTTGATAAATTCATTACAATTAATAATAATATAACAAAAAAAATTAGATGAAAATTCTATAAATCAACAAGTAATTGACCGAAAAGAAATAGACATATTGAAACCATACAAAAAAGAGATGATAATACAAAACATTTATATTTGTTAGCAAAACTTGAATATAAAGATTTTAATTAATATTTTTGCATCTCAAAAAGTTAGAAAAATAAATTTTAAATAAATATTTTATTAAAAAAATTTATCACATAAAAGGTCTCATTTTTAATTGTTGCTTTAGGGCATGTTTGATCGGAAGGATTAAAGCATGGGATTAGGATTATTAATCCGTGGGCCCAATCATCCTATGTTTGTTTTGACATTTTGGTTTAGGACTATTAATCCAATGGATAATTAATCCAATAAATTTGTATGATTATTAGTAATGGGGTAGGGGTGGGATAGTTAATACCACACTAATTTGATAGGATTATTAATACCTCACTATTAGTATTGTGAATCAAACATGACCTTAGTTCACAAATTACATAGAATCCGTCATGATTGCACATTTTTTCGTAAAAAGTAAACAGTAAAAATATAAAAATTATTGTAATTACTAAAATTATCATGGGTGTAAGTTGAAATTAATCTTAAATAAATTAGGTTATTTACATAAGGACTCTTTAGATTATTAAGAAATATTACTTTAACTCCTTAAATTATAAAAACATTCGAATAAACTCCTAAACTATTAAAAAATATTATTTTATCTCAAAAACTACAAAAACGAGTAAATGAATATCCTAAAACTATTAAAAAATATTATTTTGACTCTTTTTCCGTTTTTATAATTTAAAAAATATATTTATAAATTTTTATAATTTAAGAAGATAAAACGATACTTATCAATAATTAGAGAGCTTATTTAAACCTTTTGTAAATTAAAGAGTCAATAATTTAGAAATTTTCGTGCGAATAACCCACAAAAATTTAAAACTGGATACAACATTTCCTGCGGTCGTTCTATTCGCAAAGAACTGGTTTTGAGGCAGTGAAGCTCTGTTTCCATTTTCTATCTCTTTCCCATCACTTTCCTGGAAAATTTTCCACCCAAAAACGCGTTGATCAAGAAAAACTTTGAATTCTAGCATAGTATTTGCTGTCTTATGTCAAGTCTCAGTCTTCGCTAGTAAGTCAATAGACCAAGTAACTCTTCTTATTAAATAATTGTAACTTTCATGACATTTTTATATCATTCACCAATCCATTTCCATTTCATTGCTCTTTTATATCATTCACCAATCCATTTCCATTTCCATTTCCATTTAATTAGGTTTAGAATTTGGGTATGAATTATTTGATGAAACCTCTCTTTTTGCTTTGTTTTGAGATAAGAAATTGATTTCTTCCTCATAGGTTTGTGAAACTAGGGTTTGTTTGGGTTTTTTGATTGAATTACTAGCAAGATGACTAGCCTATTGCTGAAAATTTTGCCTAGTTTTCCTTCGAAAAATCGCGACGGTGGAGATGATTATAGTGTTGAGTACTCTTTTGCTATGGAGTACAGTGGTCCTCCAGTTGGCTATGATATTCCACAGGCAGTTCCAATCGATATTGATCGAATCCCGACTGCTTCGGTGGTTTCCAAAGCTTCTATGGTGAGTAATTTGTCACTTCCAGTTATTCAACCATTTGCAAAGACTAATCCTTCAAGCAAGAAATTGTCAATGGGTTTCAAATTGGACTATAAAGCGGTTTTGCCCCCAAATTCAGCGTCCAATTCGAGTGAATTTGTTGGTTCGGGCACGGAGGGGCATTGTAGTATTTCATGTAAATCAATGAATTTGATAGATAGCTCAGGTGCATTAGGTTCAATGGGTGTTGATGAAAGTATACCCAAGGTATCCGATGGAATTGAAAGTTCCGGATCACTAGGGTTTTCTGATAGCCGTGATGATTCACAAGAATTATCAGGAAGCTCAGAAGTTGAGGATTTAAAGGATGATGGCAATTCAAACGAAGGGGGATTAAGATCACCGGCTATTTGCCCTGAGATTTCCTCTAGTGGCGGTGAGGCTTTCATTGATGAATCATCCCACCATGTCAATGAGATGTCAACCATGACTTCTTGTGATCAGGAATCAAGTGATATAGTTCATGTAAGAACTTATCATGATGATCCACAGATTTTCCAAGGAAGGCTAAAGACTAAATCTAATGTCAAGAAAGGTTTATGTCATCGATGCCTCAAGAGAAATCGTTTCACTGATAAGGTGGTCTGCATTGCTTGCGGTGCTAGATATTGTGGTAATTGCGTGCTCAGGGCAATGGGATCAATGCCTGAAGGAAGAAAATGTATTACTTGTATTGGTTCTCCTATCGACGAGTCAAGGCGGGGGACCCTGGGAAAATGTTCCCGGGTGCTTAGGCAATTGCTCACTGATTTGGAAGTTAAACAGATTATGTGGTCTGAGATATCATGTGAAGCAAATCAGCTACCATCTGAGGTTGTATATGTGAATGGTAAGCCTCTTAGTCAAGAAGAGTTGGTTAAGTTGCAAACCTGTCCATACCCACCAAAAAAGCTAAAACCAGGAAAGTATTGGTATGATAAGGTATCTGGATTTTGGGGAAAGGTGACTCCTCTCTCTCTCTCTCTCTCTGTGTATAGTTATGTTATGCCATGATAAAATTAACGTTTTTTGGATCAATCAAACAGGAAGGCCAGAAGCCCTGCCAGATTATTAGCGATCAACTGGAAGTTGGAGATTCCATTAAGCGAAATGCTAGCAATGGAAACACAAATATATTGATAAACAATCGGGAAATTACAAAAGCAGAGCTCCGGATGCTGCGGGTTTGAGTGCTGAATATGATTTACTTCTGTTGAATTAGGTGTTTTGGAAAGTATGTAATGATGTAATCAAACTCGTATCTACTGAATCTTGCAGTGGGCTGGAATCTTGTGTGAAGGAAACCTTCACTTATGGTTAAGTAAAGATGGTTCCTACCAGGAAGAGGGACAGAATAATGTGACGGGGAGAACAAAATTATGGGACAAGGTGTGTATGAGTGTGGTTGTCCGTTCGTGTGCTTTTTTTTTTGTAATTTATCTTAATTGTCGGATATTCAATTATCTTCTTTCCAGACTAGAAGCAAGCTAGTTTGTGCCCTCTTGTCTTTGCCAATTCCTCCTGAGCATGCGAATTCTTCTGGGAAAGAAGTTGTCAATCTTGGCAATGGAGTTGTACCGAATTACCTTGCACAGAAAACACTAAACAAATTTCTTCTAGTTGGTTATGATAAATCGGGGACAAGTACTATATTCAAACAGGTATTGGAAGAATTTAGCTTTCATCTTCTACTTGTTTTTCATTCATTCACAGTAACTATAGCTATAGTCAATATCATAGAGCTCAACGGCTTTGTTTTGCACAATACTATAGGTATTTTCTATGCTTCCTCTGGTCTTTGCATCTGCATCTGCATCTGCAGGGGCACAAGATCTTACCAGAAACTTAACTCTAGAAAAGTGTAAATGTATGATAATTAAGCACCCGTAGAACCACATAAATGATTCTCTGTCATTTGGTTATTTCAATTTTTTACCTAGGGGAAAATGTCGCTTCATAATGTTCAAAACTTTATATGTCGTACATTTGTAAGATTTATTGGTAGATTTCAATTTCCTAACTTCCTAGCATTTCTATGGTGTTGACATGATTCATTTTGGTTTTATGCATGGAATATCTACATTGAAAGCTATTTTTCTATGTGCTATGATGGAAAATGTAGAGAAAATAAAAGGATATCTTCATATGATGTTTATTGACTTAAAAAAGGAAGCAGCATGTGATGGGGTGTTCAGGGAAATAAAGTGAAGGAGTTCATGAAACAAAGGAGAAACAATTAGACATTTTAATGTAGTTGAAGGCATGTACAATAAAGCCATGATTAGTGATGCTGGACGGTGCTGTTAGGGTGAAAATAGAGGTTATTTAACGGCTCAAACAGCGAGTAATTTAGGGTTTTAAGGGTTAAATTGAAGGCTAATAGGTAGGGGAATGAATTAGGGTTGATTGGATGGGGTTTTGAGGTGGAAAAGCGCACTTTTAGAGGGTTATGAATAGTAATCCGAGAATAGTAAATTGAAACATAAAATAAAAGGGAAGAAAAGAAGAAGATAGGTCTAGGCATCGCACCTAGATTCCATAGGCATAACACCTAGGTTTAGGGTTGCATCACACAAACCCAAAAGATGCTTCAAAGCTTTGAAGATTCTATAAAATATCGACTCTTTTGAATTAGAAGCATTACATTACTTATATAGACTTGAGACTTTCTAAACTAACCGTAACCAAAAAAAGAAAATACTAAAATATCTTTGACTTCTAAAACCAATTTAAAACTAAATAAGGAACGTAAAAAAAACCCAATTAAATAACTTGACCCACAACAAGATGACTCATGGGCGACCCTTACAATCCATATCAGTAAATATAAAATTTACCAAAATACCATTGACCTAAAAATCTTAGAAAATATAAATTAATCATAAAATAAAACTCTAATAATACTAGAAACGTGATTATGAATGGTTCCTATCAATTTTTCTTTGAAATCATGCCAATTTCAAAATATCGCCACTTCTTTGAATTTATTGTTCCTTGAGCTTCTTATATTCTGCATCAACTAGTTAGAGAAAATGGGAGAAGAAACAAGTGAATTTTTAATAACTATAGGCTTCTATCAAGGAAAGCATTAACTCCTTACCTTTTTGCATTAGTTATTTTGTGTATTGTATGCACCATGATAGTTTTGTTGACAAAACGAGAGGGGTGAATTCTATGTGAGTTGTGGAAAGATATTTTAGAATTTAAAAGTTTTAGGTTAAGTACAACTAAGACAAAGTACATGGAGTTCATTTTTTTTAAAAAAAAAGTAGACTAGAGATGAAGATAGAGTGAAACTTGATGGCTAAAATATATCCAGAAGTAAACATGTTATTTTTGATATCTTTGATCACGTACCCATAAAGGAAAGATTGAGCAGTATGTGGCCTAGAGATTTGGGGCAGGGTATGACAAAGGGAAAAGAGCCTAATGTTTTTTTGTGAGATCATAGATTTGTTTCCATGGTAGTTAAAAGGAAAAATTTCATAGGACTGTTGTAAGGCATGCCATGTTCATGTTGTTTTTTGTTGTATGTTGATCAGTTAAGGAACATGTCAAAAAGTGGGTGTAGCGAAAATGAGAATGGACTGCTTAGTAATTTTTTTTAACACAGTTCTACAGTATGATCCATTAAACAGGATGGTATTCAAATAGACTTGAAATTGCTGCTCATTTTACCAACCTTTATAGGCATATACACACATGCAAAATGTGTATATATAGTAATTGTTTTGCCTATCTATTGCTCAAAGTTAATCTTTCTTTACCCAAATTAAGTGATGTATTATTTTTCGGTTCAATTGGACAAATTTGGGGACTAACTAATTTGTGTGCTTAATTCAGGCTAGGATGGTGTATAATGTCCCTTTCTCTGAAGATGATCGTCAAAATATTAAACTCATGATCCAGAGCAGTTTGTATGGTTATCTTGGAATACTTCTTGAGGGGCGTGAACGATTTGAGGAAGAATGTTTAATTGAAATGAGGAAAAAGCGCAGTGATCAACCTGGTCCTTCAAGTATGATGAGAGTTTATTTAACAGTTCTCTTTTCTATTCAGCTTATATACAATGACATTTCTGCATTAAATAATGGTAAATGTGGTAAAGAGTCAGCAGTTTCTCTGCGGCAAAGTATCTGCTTGGTAGTTAAATTCATTGTTGAATCCAATTATCATCATCAAAATAACAAAATATTGCATCCAACAAATATCTTGAAATTAGTATTTTTTTTAATAATTGAGTGGACTCTGAAAGTTTTGTTAACTGCAGGGAGTGGTGGCCAGATTGATGAAAAAAATATCTATTCCATCAGCCCAAGACTGAAAGCATTCTCTGATTGGCTTCTCCAAGTGATGATATCAGGCAATTTGGAAGTTATTTTTCCAGCTGCTTCTCGGGAATACGCACCTTTTGTTGAGGAGTTGTGGAAGGATAGAGCTTTTCAAGCCACAGTCAATCGGAAGAATGAACTACGTATGCTACCCAGGGTCGCTACTTATTTCTTAGATCGGGTGAGATCATGCTCTTTCATGCTTCTTAACCGGTTTTGGGTACTAATTTGTTGGACAGCTTATGTTTCTTTTTTTTATTTTCCTCTATTCTAATTTGAAGTTTATCCTTTTCAATAAATAATCTAGCCTCCTGTGTCTGTAAGTGTGAAACAGTAGCTTCAAGTAAAATTTTTAGTGAACATTGTCTCTTTAGAGAGTTAAGATTTTGGCTCTCTAAAATTGTTGGTACATGTAAAAATGAAATGTGATGTAGGTGCTTGCTGGTTAGCATCTAAATTTATGAGTTATTTTTGTTCTATGAAGGCTGTTGAGATTTCAAGGACAGACTATGAGCCCTCTGATACGGATATCTTGTATGCGGAGGGTATCACTCCATCCAATGGCCTGGCTTCGATGGAGTTTTCATTTCCAAAGCCAACACAGAATAGCTTCATGGACCCTGCTGATCAGAATGATCCATTGCAGAGGTTAGTATTCAATTTTCGTGTATTGACCTTCTTGTATGCTTACTATATATTTAATACATATATATATAAACCATAAATTCTCTAGATTCTGGACTAGGTATTAGTAAAATTTCATCATCGCTGTTCCTGAACAACTTCATTTGTGATCAGAAATGGAAAATTCTGGTTGTTAACTTATTTCTGGTAGTTAATGGCAAATTGGTGGAAATCTGAAATCCAAATTAATTTCAACCAAACCACATTACTGACCGCAGTTCGAGTCTTTGGGTGTACTAAGAAAGCGATTGATAGTTAATATACATATAGGGCATGTATGGTGCAATTTTTCTCAAGTTAAAAGTTGATAATTAAAAAGCACATGCTAAAGCATTCCTCCCCCAACTTTCAAATAATTGTGTTTTTTTTTTTTTTCTTTTTCCTAAAGCTTATTTAAACTATTTTTGCCTCGTACACTATAAGCTGCACCAAACAGGGCCATAATCCTCTCCAATTTGCTTTTATGATGAATGGTTTGACATGCATATCTTCCTAACCCTAGTTGTTGACAATCCATCCTCACTGTTTCCGACTATCTACAGCAGGTTCCAACTCATTAGGGTACATGCAAGCAGTCTTGGAGAAAACTGCAAGTGGCTGGAGATGTTTGAAGATATCGACCTTGTCCTGTACTGTGTTGCCTTGACTGACTACGATCAATTCTTGGATGATGATGTTAATGGAGTCTCAACCAACAAAATGTTAGTAAGCAAGAAACTCTTTGAAAACATTGTCACTCATCCGACCTTTCATCAGAAGGACTTCCTTCTGATACTCAACAAGTTTGACCTGTTTGAGGAGAAGATCGAACAGGTTCCTCTCTCTGAATGTGAATGGTTTCAGGACTTCAACCCGGTGATTAGCATTCATCACAACAGAAGCACCAGTAATAACTATAATAACCCTTCATTGGCTCAACGTGCTTTCCACTATATCGCAGTGAAATATAAAAGACTTTTCGATTCCCTCACTGGAGGACGCAAGTTGTACGTTTCATTGGTTACTGGATTGGAGCCGGATAGTGTTGATGAAACTCTTAGATTTGCGAGGGAGATTCTGAAGTGGGATGAGGAGAAACCCACCGTTGCACAGGATTGGTCTTCTGGTAGCATCGAGGCAAGTACCACTTCGTAACTTCCCCCAAAAAAATGGCAACTAAGTTTTTAAAATTTTTTTTTTTTTTGCCAAAGTCAGTGCAGATGTACATTAGAAACACAGAAGGAAATAAGAAGCGATGTTTTAGATTTTGTAAGAAACGAAATGTAGAGCTTTTTCAAGAGATGTAAGGATGGTTTATATAAGAGACTTAAAAGAGAATTCTTTGATGCAACCCATATTATGGTGTCTGTCTCTGTTCTTGTGATTGATTTTGGAGTTGTAATAATCTCTGTTTTTTATTTATTATATATATATATATATATATAATCTGCTTACAATAACCATAGACTGGTTGAAATTTTATTTTTTATTTTTTATTTTTTTTTATTTCTTGGTGATGTATTATGTAGAATTAGAAGGCAAAAAGGTAAATGGATGTTACCAAGAAAACAGAGATCAAACATAAGCTCGTTTGTTTAAGTGAAAGTTATTCTTTATTTTCTATATTTCCTATACTTTTTTATGAAGGAAAACAAAAGTTAACAAAAAAATATATTTTTTACAGTCAATGAAAAATAATTTGTTTGAGTGAAAATATTTTTCATGGTTAAAAGTAAAAAAATATTGTTTGGATTAATGTTTACCACCGCTGTCACCATCCTACTACCACCACCACCGCTAACCACTAGTAATTAGTTTTAAGATTGCAGCCAAACATAGAAATCATTTCAATGAAAAGATTTTTTGAAAAAACAGTGTGTTGGGATGATGAAACAATGTTTTGGACTAAAGCAGAGAGCGTTAGATGATCAGAAGAACCCCTCATATACACGGGCATGAACACCTACAATCATTATATTATTGTAACTCTTGCAAACATTCATACAATTGAACCTCACACACATATATATACAATATGATGATGATTACATTGGCGCAAAACGGTCCATGAGCAGACAAATCGTAGTTTCTGACATCGTACTGTCTTTCTTCGCCTCTTTCGCGGACTTCATGAAGACCAAAGAATGGTCTTTCTCCTTTGGTAGTGATGCTTCATTTTCTTGATCAACATCTGTTCTTCTTTTAAGCAAGAATGGTTTCCGAGCTCTAACCTTCTCTCCAAGCTTTACCAGCTCGCTCACCCACGCATCAACCATAACCGACATCTTCTCAAAGTCTCTCTTGAATTTTACTTCTTCAAAAAACAATGTATAGAATGAAGAGAATGGTGGAGAAGTGTTCCTATGTTTATAGTGGGAGAGAGGTTGAGGGCCTTTGAAAATATCAGTGTGTCGATGAGGCCCATCGATTGTGAGCACACAGCATGACATGGAATTATAAGAAGCATATGTTGATAGGATATTCGAGAGCATTGGCTGAGATTGTCTTTGCCATTGGTTTAGATGGAGTATGCAAAATATGACTCTTGTTTTGTTTTGTTGGGTATGTGAATGAATCAGGGAGCTCGCATGAGAGTGGACCACAGTTTTGTGTTGAATATTCTTACAAGTTACAACTATTCATTGCCCAAAAAATTAAAAATTAAAAATTAAAAAGATAGAAGAAAATGTATGAGTGGTCCACAGGAAAATGAATTACAACAGGCTGTGTTGCTGGTAAATGTCCCTATCTTTCTCTCTTTTTCTTGGCTCATTGTGGAAAAATAAAAGGTGGGCTTATTTCCAGAGATTGGTGGATGAGAGATATGACATATTTTTTAATTTCTTCATACCCATCTTTCTTGTAATATATTAATTTATTTGCTTCAATTATTGTAATATATTATGTAAGATGCTTCTTTTCTCTTTACTTTGCTTTTCCCCCCTTTTTCTTTTCATTCACTTGCCTCTTTCTTTTTTCTTTTCTTTTTAATCTTTTATCTCTTGGCTGATAATAAGAAATGAACAGGGTGAACATTCTTCAACTAGTTTTACATTTAAGGGATTTTTACACTAAAAACCTAAAAAGTAAGAAAAATATTTAAAAAATTGAATGTTCCATAAGAGAGAAAAAAACAACATATTTTTCTAATTAAATCAGTTTTGTTTTTAGTAGCATTTTTTAATGAACATACTTCGTAATTTTCATGCTTTTTTTAGTCTTAAAGTCCCTAAAAATTTTTAATAAAAGAAATGGTAATAGAAAAAATGCTGCTAAAACAAAAAGCTTTCCATTACCAAACTTATAAAAGACCAAAAAAAAATTAAGAACTCTCTTTGACTGGTCACAACAAAGAGGTTGTCGTACACATTCTTGTAATATCTAAAAATATCTTTTTTTTTTAAAGACATCTAAAAATATCTTGATATTTTAGCCCAACAAGGTCCTACTTTTGTATCAATACTGGGAGAAGTACAGTTATAGGACATATTTGATTCATTAAAGTATGTGATTGAAATTATTAATTTGTAGATTCAATTATTTTATATTTGTTTTAATATTTTGATTTAAAATTATTAATTTAATAAATAATTAATTCAATAAATTTGTAACATTATTAGTAATGAGATAGAGGTAAGATTATTATTCCAATAGATAATTTATCTTATTAATTCAATTAGATAGTGAATACCATACTAATTTGATAAGATTATTAATACCTCACTATTAGTCTTGTAAATCAAACATAACCATAGAGTATTATTTCACACTGTTTATTAAGGGATAAGTGTTTTATTGTCTCCTAAAAAGAGACGGAAAAGTTGGAGTCTCACTAACTCAATCAATAAGAACCAAGTTAGAACACCACATCAATTTGTCCTAAGAACAAATAATAATTTTCCCAATACTAGATGATATCAAATATCTTGAATTTCTTAGGTGGAATTAATGGTTAGAAAAGAAGAAAAAAAAACTTGGAAATGGGGTTAAGCAATTTTTTTATAATAAAAATGGAGTTCTAGTGTCCAATTTTTATTATTGTTTTTTTTTAAGATTTTGTCATGACACTTTAAAATGAGACTTGTAGATCTATAATAGAATCAAGGGGTAAAATTATCGACCACTCCCCTCATCTTAACATTAAAAAAAAATAATCAATGAGGTATTATATGAACTTTACTTTTGCCTTGATTATCATTTAAGATGTTGAGAATAATTTATATATTTCATTATTACTTTAAATCTTTATTATCACATAATGGGTTCTTTGAATAAAATTAAAAGAATAGGCTATCTGAAGATATAAGTATACATATACATTTTATTTTTGTAACTCAAAAGTTTAATTCACGCTAGTTTATTTTCTATCCAAAAACCCAAAAAATCAAATATCAAACTCATTACATAGAAATTTCACACATATTACACATTTTTTTACATGCATAGTATTAGATCACAGAAATGGTGACAACAAATTATCACCAAGTCAATGAGGAAGATTCACAAAGGAAAGAAAACATGACAAACTAGTATTTTTTCAAGGGCTAAAGCATTCAACAAGCATAGAAACTGAAGCCTCAGAGTAAGTCAACAAGGGCAAATTGAGTTTGGGCATGACACTAGCCAAATTAATTGAGCTCTTTTCATGTGCTTGAGCCATTTGGCTCGACTCAGGAGTGGTTGGGCTCGAACCAGCTTCAAAAATCATTCGATCCTTCTTGTTGCGTAGCTTGGCAAGCTCACTAGTCCACTTATCCACCAGCCCAGGCATGGCCACTTTCAATATCAAATGACAAAAGACAGATAGATCTAAAAGGAGAAAGGGGAGAGAAAAAAAGATCCTGAAGTGCTTTTCTTAGTATTTGATATTTTGAGATATGGTCATTGCATTTCCTATACTTATATATGTGTGCATATGAAGATTGAGGTCGGTTCACTCAAGAAGTTGTAAAACAGCTGCTACTTTAGGTAGTATTGTGGATATACAAAACAAACCATGTGCTGTAAATTGTAAGACTCTGTCATTTGATAAGGTTGTCAATATCTTGTCTTAAAAAATTAAATAAATAAACTATTTCTTATTATAATTTTATTTTGTTAAAAAGTACCTATCATAATTACATATCCTATGTTCTACACCTAGTCACTATTTTGTGAATCAGCTCTCATAACTACGGGAGAAAACCATCCACCCACATAGAACCTTCTTTCCCCTTTTTTCAATTCCCAAATTTCATGGCCAATTCTTGCTTGCACCAGATTTAACATCTGGTCAATTATGAAAAGCACATCAAACACATCATGCGAGTCCAACAATTCAAAGACCAAAAAATAAAATAAAATAAAAGTTCGTTTGATTTCATGTTCACGAAGCCTTATCCAAATTAACATTACAAAAGAAGACAGCATGACAACAAAAACCCACTTATCCAAATTAGACCTATGACCAAGAACAGAGCATAAAATCCACGACCCACCTCATAAAACAAAATAAAATCTCTGCTTTTTGCAACATATAAAGGAAATGGATGGCTATACCATCATGAGAAGGCAGGCAAGAGACCCTTTGCAACCAAAAGGGTCTCCACCACCACTGCCTCCACAATTCTCCACCAAATTGTACCCAAGCACACTGTAAAAATATAGTTAGAGAGAGAGAGAGAGAGACAATATAATAAGCTGCAATAATCCGAGCCTCAGATAAAGTTCATCTAAGAAAAAGCATCAAAAATAATATCAGCTAAATGTCTCAAAGTGGTACGTTTCTTGTAGCACGTCATATTGCATATAGTTCACAACTTTGCCTCTAATATCATGCTCCTCTCAGGTACAAATGACATAAACAAAATTGTTCAAGAAGAAACGATATGAAACAGCAGTAGGAAAAGATCAATGATTCACATCCATGAAATATCTCCACCCAAACCCTACAGTTAAATAATCTGTTTTAGCATTATATATATCAAATTTCAGCATTAATATCATATTTTCATAGTTTTGGAATAAAAACTCCAACTACTAGATAGGATTGTGCAAAATACTGTCCAATCTGTACCGATACATCCGCTAACTGCAGACTAAACTTTGAACTTTATAATCCGTCTTTGAAACCGTTCCACTTCATTAAAGTTAATACATATTTTGTTAACCTCTAATGAAATATCAAAATAAAAATGAGTGTGAGAGAGATTTAAAATGTTAAATTTGTTACAAATTAATAGTCATATATATGAAAAATTAGTTTGTGTTATACCAAACCAAATCTTAAGTCCCATCAAATGGGGTCGGCTATATGAATGCTTCTTCTCCACGCGGCCCTATCAAAGACTATTTCATTAGTCAAATTAAGTAGATCCAAAATTAGTTTGTATTATATATATGAGAAATATTATACAAATTAATATATTATGCAAACGTATGATAGTTGTTTAAGAAGATTCTTCAATCAACTAGCAAATTGAAACCGCCTAAAACCGCGATTTAGTTATTTGCCAATCCGCCATTCACGGTTTGGTTTATAGTTTTACTTTCAAACCGCCCGAACCGCATTGCGCATACCCTTGCTACTAGGCATAAATTAATTTTTAACATCCACTTTCACGTTTCAGCAGCCCATATTCATTGAATCATGCAAGAACAACTTTTGAATTCAAATAGATAAGCAACAACCAATAGATGAATCTGCTATAACAAACCTGAGAAAATCTGGACCCAAGAGTTTGTCCCATCTACTACTTTTTCTTCTTCTTCTTCCTCCTCTTTGATAATTGAATCTGCATTTAACAAGAACAAGTAACATGAATGAAATTTCATATTGCAAATTGCATAATTAACTGTTTACGCACTTCTTGAGATGAAAGATGGCGACTAAACGATGAAGTGGACGCATGGGATTGTTGTTGTGAATGTGGTACTGGCTCACTCCATGTTGCAGTACGATGAGTGCTAGATGCACGAGGAACCTATCATTTCAATATAATATGTATGAACATTAAAATAAAAATAAAAAGAGAAAGAAAGAAAGATACAATGTATGAAAGCACTAATAAAAAAAATTATTACATGCCGATTATGTAGTGAATCTAAGGGTGTAGCAGCTGGTGCAACAGGCCCACTCATAGCTTGCAGCTGATACTCCAAATGCTCCACCCGTGTTTGCTGAGCTTGAATTACTGTTTGCTGAGATTGAATTGTGTCCTGCATCTCTGTACGCATAGCACCCATCATCTCCTTCATTTGCATCTCTAATTGTACTCTATATTGGTTAAATTGCTCTTGGAGTTGCATCTGGATTATTTGAGTCTGTTCCTGTGACTGCCTATATCCACCTCCAATGACGTCTGTCAGAGAAGAACTCAACCCATATGTTCGGACATGACCAGGTCTCTTAGGGCCCGGAACTTGTGTCTCCTCGTCTGTGACATTGGATTGCATTGAGAGCTCCTTCATTTGTGTCAGCAATTTTTAATCAGTTAATTAGCCATCAATAAAATTTATATTAACAAAACTCTACTACAGAAAGAATGTCTACAAAACTTAAAACTACATACCATAACTTCAGCAACTCTATCATTACTTGGCATTGTCTATACAAAAAACACAAATGTAAAAGTGAATATGACATGAAATGTTGCAATTACAAATGTTTGCTATGGTTTGTCTGATTTTTTAACTACTATGGTCTAGTAGTCTACAAATTTTTCTAAGAGAATTAGATACAAAATGTACTTAGCACGAAGTAATTATTTAATTGTATATGTGATGCACATATATAACTATATAATATAATATAATATATTCCGTGTCTAGATAATATAAAAAATCCAAAAATGATTATTTGCAGTGTGACCAAATAGTGTCTGTGTCCCATTTTTTTTAGAATTTGTCGCGTTGACGGGTCCGTGTCTATGCTTCATAAGGAATGACTACCAAGTAGCCCGGTCTAATGGTCCGTCCAACTTGGTTACCCCAATGGAGCCCGGGACTGACCTGCTGGGCGTGGGCCAAGCTGGGCATGTAGACTGGGCCCCAAGGACTATCTTGGGGGGTCGGGCATATGTTAATTGTGTATATATCAAGCACAAAGGAAAAAACAAATTCTCAACCAATCTATGGTTACTGTGAGGAAATATAAGCAAAAAAACATAGAAACATTCTCACAGCTCCAAAATCAATCAGAAGAACATTGGCAGACACCTTAATATGGGTTGCATCAAAGAATTCTCTATGAAGGTAATAGAAGTAATGAACTTGAACATTGTGTATATGTAGCTCTTATACAAAACTCAAATATGTTATGGCAGATAAACCATCCTTACATCTCTTAAAAGAGCTCTACATTTCTTCTTTCTTTCAAAATCTAAAACACAGTTTCAACCCCAAAGGGTTGGCCTGGTGGCAAAACCTTAGGCTTTGGAGGTGTACCCCCTCCAAGATTCAAGGATCGAAACTTCTTAGGTGCTAACAATTCTTTGGGTCATCGGATTCGGGAAAAACTCTAGAATTAACCATGGTGCACTTATGGGAAACTGTGCACCCCTAGGAATTAGTCGGACTTTGATCCGGACACCCCGTACCAATCAAAAAAGAAAAAATCTAAAACATAGCTTCTAATTTTCTTTTCCCTTTGTTTTTGTAATGTACATAAAAGAATGGAAAGAATTATTTAGCTTATCAATCAATGAGGTAAAGGCCATGTATATATAATATATTCATGACCCAATTTAGGAAACAATATACACAAGGTAAGATTCCTACAATCAAAATAATTCCTATTCTAATTTCCATATTCAAACATAATATTTTGATTTCTATATTCAATACTCCCCCTCAAGTTAGTGTGAAGATATTCAACAAACACAGCTTGTCAATGGAAGACTAGAGCAAAGTTGGTCCCATAGATATTGTGAATATATCTGCCTACTGCTGAGAAGAAGAGACAAAAGACGAACGTACAATGTCAGTCCGAACCTTTTCTCGAATGAAATGTATGTCAACCTTGATATGCTCGGTACACTCATGAAGCACAGAATCAGAGGATAACAAAATGGCAGATTTGTTATCACAAAATAAAGAGAAAGGAACAGTCTCCTCAAAATCCAACTCTGCCAGAATAGAACGAATCCAAAGAATCTCACATGTCCTATGTGCCATAGCCTGATACTTAGCCTCTGCAAAAAACTTAGAAACCACCGCCTACTTCTTACTTTTCCATGAGATAAGATGATCACCGTAGAAAGTACGAAAGCCAGAAGTGGAACGCCGATCAATCTTAGATCCTGCATCGTCTACATTGGTGAAACAAGAGAGCCCAGATTGGAGACCAGCGGTAAAGAACAATCCCAAGCCAGGAGAAGGTGCTCTTTATGAGGTGCATGCATGAACTGACTCACAACACTAACTGCAAATGTCAAGTCAAGTATAGTATTGGTCAACTAAATGAGGCGTCTAATAAGACGCTAATACATGCCTGGATCATCTAGCAACTCACTATACTCTGATGTGAGTTTGACATTAGGATCCATAGGAGTAGAAGTACGTTTACACCCTAACATACCAGTATCCTGAAGCAAGTCAAGGGTGCACTTTCTTTGAGACAAGGAGATCCCCTCCCTTAAGCGAACCACCTCAATTCTCAGAATATATTTGAGACATCCCAAATCCTTAATATCAAAAGTTTCGCCCAAGTCCTCCTTTACTTGACTAATACCGACAGAGTCATCACCTATGAGAATAATATCATCCACATAAACTAACAAGACTATAAATTGACCTGCAAAATTCTAGCGAATAAAACAAGTGTAATCAGAGTGGCATTGAACAAAGCCTATAGATATAATAACAAAACTGAAGCAACCAAACCATGCTCGTGGAGACTGTTTCAGACCATACAAGGATTTGCGTAACCAGCACACTTTTTCCGAATACTCCCCCTCAGCCCGAAAACCCGATGGAGGAGCCATGTAAATCGTCTCAAGAAGATCTCTATGGAGAAATGCATTCGTGACATCAAGCTTATGAAGAGGCCAAGAATGAGATGTTGTAAGGGAGATAAGGAGACGTACAGAAGTAAGCTTAGCGACAAGGACAAAAGTGGCACCAAAATCTTTGCTAGGAATCTGTGTGAAACCTTTAGTCACCTAGCGGGCTTTGTAACGGTCAACTAAGCCATTAGTGAGATACTTTATAATGAACACCCATTTGCAACCAACTGTGCTTTCCCCAGGAGGTAAAGGTACAAGATCCCAAGTGTGATTCTGTTCTAAAGCCGCCATCTCAGTTTGCATAGCCACTACTCATTTGGGATTCTAAAAGACACAGAATGAGAAATAGACTCCAACTTAAGCTTGCCAAGAAAGGAACGGTAAGAAGGGGAAATCTTGTCATAGAAAAGATACTGGGAAATATGATGATTAGTACTACTCAAATAACTCAAACAATTCGGAGGATGTCGATCCCGATGTGGGTTACGACGAGGAGGTGGAGGAAGAGCCAAAGGAGAAGAGTTGCCTGATCCAGAGATCGGAGAGGTGGCAAAGGGGGCTGAGTGCGTAGGCGATGGGAGTATGCAATAGGGGAGGAGGCAAAGGTTGAGAAAGAGGAAGGGGGCAACCTCATTCTCAACCTCGTCCAAAATGGTCACCGGGCGAACAGTGGAACTAACAAGAGGAGAAACCTGCAAAGAAGGGTAGTACCAAAGAAAATAAGATCATCACAAAACGTAACATTCAAAGTGTGGTGAAAGTGACGAGACACAGGGTCTTAACACCTATACACTTTGGAGATGGAAGAGTACCCTAAGAAGATACAACTAATAGATTTGTCATCTAACTTTGTGCGAGTGGGACTCCGATTTTGAACAAAATAGGTACACCCAAAGACACGAGGTAAAAGTAGAAACAGAGTGGTGATGGGCATAAGGGTATGAAATGGAAGGAGTCCATGCAACACGACCAGAGGTCCTATTAATGAGATAAACAACAATAAGGATAGCCATATGCCAATAAGACTTGGGAACACCTATATCGCAAGAAGACACTGGACAATAGACATAATATGGCGATTTTTGTGTTCAGCAACACCATTTTATTCAGGGGTCCAAGGACAAGTAAGTTGTTGAAGAATACCAGTTTGATTAAGATGGGAATGAAATGCATTAGAAATATATTCCCCACCATTATTAGAACGGATAGTCCTAACAACTGAACTCCGAAAGTGTCAACTAAACTCCGAAAAATAAAAACAAACCATTTTTTTTTTTTTTTGTGCAAAATCAGTTTCCATGAAATTTTTTGGTGTAAAATATTTTACGTCGAAACAAACAAAGTCTTAGTTGCCATTTTTTTGGAGGGGAATCTACAAAGAGATACTTGCCTCAATGCTACTAGAAGACCGATCATATGTAGTAAGGCTGGGTTTCTCCTCATTCCACTTCAGAATCTCCCTCGCATATCTAAGAGTTTCATCAACACTATCTGGCTCCAATCCAGTAACCAATGAAACGTACAACTTGCGTCCTCCAGTGAGGGAATTGAAAAGTCTTTTATATTTCACCGCGATATAGTGGAAAGCACATTGAGCCAATGAAGAGTTATTATAGTTATTACTGGTGTTGCTGTTGTGATGAATGCTGATCACCGGGTTGAAGTCATGAAACCATTCGCATTGAGAGAGAGGAACCTGTTCGATCTTCTCCTCAAACACGTCGAACTCGCTGAGTATCAGAATGAAATCCTTCTGATGAAAGTTTGGATGAGTGACTATGTTTTCAAAGAGCTTCTTGCTTACTAGCATTTTGTTTGTGGAAACTCCGTTATCATCATCCGAGAATTGATTGTAATCAGGCAAGGCAACACAGTACAGGATGAGGTCAATGTCTTCAAACATCTCCAACCATTTGCAATTTTCTTCAAGATTGCTTGCATGAAACCTAATGAGTTGGTACCTGCAGTAGAAAGTCACAAACAGTTGAGCTTTAAGAAGCATGGACACTTTCATGGAGAAGGCATGTTGTGTCGGATACCCACGTGACCATGTCGGTATGTCCATGTTGTGTTGCATGTTTGTGCTACTTAACTGAGGATACATTGTCGACAACTAGGGTTAGGAAGACATACATTTTAAACCATTTGTCATGGATACAAATGGGAGGAGAGGATTATATCAATTGCCTTCTAAGTTCAGCCAAGGACTGAACTGAACTCAGTAACGTGGATTTGGTAGAAGTTAACATCCCAAATTTTCTATTTCAGAAAATCATAAATGAAGTTGTTCAAGGTCAGTGATGATAAAATTTTGCTAAACTCAGCCCCAATCCTGAAGCTAGAGAATTTGTTGTCTACATTTTTTTTTTAATAGAAAAATTACAAAAAATAAATAAATAAATACTTTATCCCCAGTTTCAAATCAAACCCTAACTTTTTAATTATTTCAAGTTAACCCTAAACTTTAAAAATTATATCAATTCTAACCATCAGTTTGTATCCATTAGTTATAACTAATGAAGAAGGGGTAATTCAGTTTTAGACAAGTTAACCACTTTTTTTTACCTTTCATTACTATCGACAGCCATTTTCCACTCTTACCCATCGTCAGTCAGCAACCCCCCCCCCCCCTCGTCCCCAATCCACTCATTCCCCCTCCATAGCTACTCCTCCCCTTCCTTAGCTCACTACCACCCTTCTCCTTCCTTCCCAGTCCATAGCCATTATTGCTGTCCAACACCACCGACAAAAAGCAGTTAAATTGTCTAAATTGCCCTTGTTTCGTTAGTTATAAATAACAAATGGTTAGAACTGACTGACACCATTTTAAAAATTGAGGGTTTAAATTGAAACAATTAAAAAGTTGGGGTTTGATTTGTTAATGGAGTCGAAGTCCTTTTTCTTTTTCTTTTTTAACTTTTCCATTTTTTTTTAGATAGGATCCCTTTTTTTTTTCTTCTAATAAATAAAAAATCTATAGTTAGCTGATACATGAATTGATTAATAATAACCTCTGCAACAGATCATTCTGATCAGCAGGGTCCATGAAGCTATCTTGTGTTGACTTGGGAAATGAAAACTCCATGCAAACCAGGCCATTGGATGAAGTGCTACCCTCAGCATACAAGATATCCATATCAGAGGGCTCATAGTCTGTCCTCGAAATCTCAACAGCCTTCATAGAACAGAATTAACTCATAAATTTAGATGCTAACCAGCAAGAATGTATATCAAACTTCAAATCACGTTTCATTTTACATGTACTAACAATTTTGGAGAGCCAAAATCCTTAAGGTTAAAAGTACAATTTAAATTTAATACATACCTTAAATTTAAATTTTAAGTACAATTTAATATATCGCTGACCAAAATATATGTATATATAGTTCGATTATCCACTTTTCTTCATTCTAAGCTCCAAAGAATTAATTGAACAGAGCAAAAATGCTAAATTTTTAGCTCTCATTGGTATCAATGCTTCCTCGATTAGGGATCACGAGATCAACTGTTTAAATCCTGGTTTGCAGGTGGGAAACCAGCCCACAGATAACGTTAAAAGCTTTTATATCCCCTACTACTCCAACCCCAAAAAGTCACCCTCCATTTTTTTTCTAACCTTATTTGGAAGTTGGAACTGTGAATTATGTAGTTTATATTATTCATTAAGGATAGTTTAGTACTTTAGATTATTAGGGATTATTAGGGTTTCATTTCATTCTATTGCTTATATATTTTGTAATTCTTTTGATTAATCAAAAAAACACAAGTTTTGTCATCTGTTATCATGGTATCAGAGCAAGGTTACAAACAGTAGCATACCTCACAGGTCATCATTGACCATCGCAACTCTGTCTCTCATCGCACATCGCAGAGCTCTCTCCTTCAATCGCAAGGCCATCGCAGCTCTGTCTCTCTCTTCGCAAGGTCATCGAAGCAGCTCTTCTCGCAGCTCTGCCTCTCTCTTCGCAAGGTCGTCATCGAAACAGCTCGTCTCACTTGCTGGTTTTGGTTCTGGTTCAATCGAAACCCTAAGAAGCTTCCATCGCTGGTCCCTGGTTCATTCGGAGACCTAGGTTGGGTATCTCGCTAATCTTCTCTCTATTTTGACCTAGCTCTCGTAAACGGTGAACCTCCATCACTGCTCTCTGGTTTATAGGTTGCCGTGGTTATGAGAAGAGTGCATTGCTACTCTTGACAGGTCATTCATCTCTCTCTCTCTCTCTCTTCTCTGCTGCCTTTCACTCTGTTTTGAATGCACTGTAGTTTGGATATACAATATGGCTGATGATAAATTGCAAGCTATTACTACTAAATTAGATGGTACCAATTATTCTTATTGGTCTCATGTGATGAAAAATTTTATAATGGGTAAAGGTATGTGGAATTATGTTATTGGTATGACTATTAGACCTGTGGAATCTCAAGAAACTGAGGCCGATGTTGCTAAATGGGATAAGGAAAATGCACAAATTCTTACTTAGTTTCATAATTCAGTTCAAACTACCATTGGTATGAATTTTTCCAAGTATTCTACTTCTAAGCAAGTTTGGGACTATTTGAAGACTATGTACCTTAAGTCTAACTTTGCAAAGCAGTATGAACTTGAGATGTCTATTCGCAGTGCTAGTCAGAAAGATAAGTCCATTCAGGAGTTCTACAATGAGATGACTACTTATTGGGATCAGCTTGCTTTGATGGAACCGTCCGATTTGCAGTTACTTGACAGTTATATCAAGTATCGGGAGAAACAACATCTTGTTCAATTTCTCATGGCCCTTCGTGATCAATTTGAGCCACTTCGGGGAGCTATTCTTCATCGGTCTCCCTTGCCTTCTGTGGATGGTGCTGTCCGTGAGCTTATTGCAGAAGAAACACGGTTTAAGGTGGCTCATAGTACTCCTGCTTCCCAGTCAGTTTTTGCCACTCCTCCGCTTTTGCCCACCCCATCTTCTCATTTATTTCAAGTTACTGGTAAGCCCAAGCCTCGGGTTTCCATGGATGAGTGCAGCTTCTGTCATCAGAAAGGCCATTGGAGACATGCATGTCCTAAACTTTTGCAACCCAAGGGTCGTTCATCTGGTTCACCATTCGCTAAGCCGACATTTTCAGGATCTCGCTCATCTGCCGCCTTTTCTGCACCAGTTTCTGAGAATGATCCATCTTCCAATATGCAGTCTATGTTTGAGCAGTTCAAGTCTTTCATGGTGGCTAATCCAAATCTTTCGTCCCAAGCCTCCGCTATGACTACCACTCGGTTCGGTTTGTATGGTTCATCCTCTTCAGGTAATATCCATACTTCGTGGATCTTTGATTCTGGTTGTTCACATCATATGACCCCTGTTGCATCTCTCCTCAGTAATTGTGTCTCTCCTTCTTCTTCTATCACTATTGCTACTGCTAATGGTTCTTCTATGCCTGTACACTCTGTTGGTTCTATTTCCTGTTCCCATTTGTCTCTTTCTCCTGTATTTTATGTGCCTCACCTCTCACTCAGTCTTATTTCTATTAGTCAATTATCTGATTCCGGTTTTGATGTTGTTTTCTCTTCTTCTCATTGTGTTGTACAGGACCGGGTATCCAAGTGGCAGATTGGGATCGGGCGTAGAATTGGAGAACTATATATCTTGGAGAGCTTGCATGTTCCTCTAGAAGTGTCTTCTACTGCATTGTCTTCTTTTTGTTTAAACAATAAGTCATCTCTGTTTTATATTTGGCATTCTAGGTTAGGTCATCTGTCGAGAGATCGGCTGAGGATGTTAGTTAGGTCTGGACATTTAGGCAATTTTCCCATTAGTGATATTTCTGAGTGTCATGGTTGTAAACTGGCTAAAATGTCTGCTCTTCCTTTTAATAAAAGTAGTTCTATTTCATCTTCTCCTTTTCAATTGGCCCATACTGATGTTTGGGGTCCTTCCCCTATAGTTACCAAAGGTGGTTCGCAATATTATATAGCATTTGTGGATGATTACAGTCGATTTACTTGGGTTTATTTGATGACTCGAAAATCTGATTTTTACAAAATATATTCTAATTTTCACTCCATGATTCGCACTCAATTTTTTACCACCATTAAAATTCTTCGTTCTGATTTGGGGGGTGAGTATTACTTGTCTGAGTTTGAGGAGTATTTAGCTACTCATGGAACTATTCATCAGTCTTCGTGTTCTGACACTCCTGCACAAAATGGTCGAGCTGAGCTCAAACATCGCCATCTCCTTGATACAGCTCGCTCTTTGTTGCTCTCATCTTTTGTCCCTTTTGTTTTCTGGGGAGAAGCTGTGCTCACTGCTGCATATCTTCTCAATCGGATGCCTACTCCTCTTCTCTAAGGCTCATCTCCGTATGAGCGTCTTTTTGGTGTTACTCCCAATTATTCTCTTTTTCGTATTTTTGGTTCTGCATGCTTTGTGCTCCTTCCTAAACGGGCGCGCTCCAAGCTTAGTTCTCGTTGTGTCCTATGCTTCTTTTTAGGGTATGACATTAATCAGAAAGGTTATCGGTGCTATGATCCTGCCACCAAAAAGCTATATGTGTCTAGGCATGTCACTTTTTTAGAAAAACTACCCCACTATACTATACCTTCCACCCTTGTTCCTATTACTAAGGATGAATTGGTTCGTGTTGACCCATTTCCTCCTAATGTTTCTCCTGATGAGTTTGTTTCTGACCTTGAGGTCTCTACTTTGCCTCTTACTAGCACTTCTAATACCTCTCCAGCTATCTCATCTCCAGCTCCCGCTTCTCCTGCTCCTCTTATTGTTTATCAACGCCGCAAAGCACTTCCGAGCTCACCTGTCTCTAGCTCTACTGTCCCTCCAGCTGTTTCTTTGGATCCCGCTCCTTCTGCACATCGCTTCCCAAAGCGAGATCGTCATCCTCCGAACTGGTATGGTTTTGGTAATACATGTTTTTCCATTTCCTATCAGTCTTTTCTTTCTTGTCTTCATACATATTTTGAGCCCAGGTCTTACAAGGAAGCTTGTCATGATCCCAATTGGATTGCTGCCATGAATGATGAGTTAACTACTTTGGCTAACACTCAGACTTGGGATTTGGTTCCATTACCTGCTGACAAGAATGTTGTAGGCTGTAAATGGGTCTATAAGGTCAAAGCCCTTTCTGATGGGTCTTTGGAACGGTACAAAGCTCGTCTAGTTGCCCAAGGCTTTTCTCAGCAGTATGGAATTGATTACGATGAGACTTTTTCCCCCGTTGCCAAGATGACTACTGTTCGTACTCTTATCTCTGTTGCTGCTGCCCATCATTGGCCCCTGTTTCAACTAGATGTCAAAAATGCTTTTTTGAATGGGCATCTTGCTGAAGAAGTGTATATGCGCCCTCCACCGGGTCTCTCTCACCCTCCTGGTGTTGTTTGTCGTCTTCATCGTGCTCTATATGGTCTCAAGCAATCTCCTCGTGCTTGGTATGAGCGATTTCACTCTGTTGCCCTTCAGCTTGGTTTTCGCCCTAGTCATCATGATTGCGCTCTCTTTGTTCGACGCATTTCTGTTGGGCTTGTTCTCCTTCTCTTATATGTGGATGATATGATCATCACTGGCTCTGATTATAGTACTATTGAGGAGGTTAAACATCAGTTGTTTCAGGAGTTCGAGATGAAGGATTTGGGGTTTCTTCGGTATTTTCTTGGTATTGAGGTTGCTACTTCTCCTACTGGTTATCTTCTCTCTCAGACTAAATATGCCCGTGATATTCTTTCTCGTGCCAATCTCACTGATGAGAAAATTGTTGACACTCCTCTTGAGTTGCATGCTAAGTTTTCTGCTTCTGATGGCGTTCCTCTTCAGGATCCCACTTTGTATCGCGAGTTGGTTGGGTGCCTTGTTTATCTCACCGTTACTCGTCCGGATATCTCCTATGCTATGCACATTCTCAGTCAGTTTGTTTCTGCTCCTCGTTCCACACACTGGGCTGCCTTAGTTCATACTTTGCGCTACCTTCGTGGCACTTTGTTGCAATGTTTGTTGTTATCTGCCTCTTCGGACTTGACTCTTCGTGCCTATGCTGACGCTGATTGGGCAGGTGACATCTCTGATCGCAAATCCACTTCTGGTCTTTGTGTTTTCCTTGGCGATTCCCTCATATCCTGGAAGAGTAAGAAACAATCTGTTGTTGCTCGTTCCACTGCTGAGGCTGAGTATCGTGCCATGGCTTATGCTACTTCCGAGATCGTTTGGCTTCGCTGGCTTCTTTTTGATATGGGTGTCTCTCTTTCTGATCCGACTCAGTTGTATTGTGATAATCAGAGTGCTGTCCAGATTGCCCATAATTCAGTCTTTCATGAGCGGACAAAGCATGTTGAAATAGATTGTCACTTTGTCAGACAGCATCTTCAGGCTGGCACTATTACTCTCCCTTTTGTTCCCTCATCTCTTCAGTTGGCCGATTTTTTTACGAAGACTCATACCGTTGCTCGTTTTCGTTTTCTTCTTGGCAAACTTTCGATACTTTCTGCGCTCGCATCCTCAGTTTGAGGGGAGGTGTGAATTATGTAGTTTATATTATTCATTAAGGATAGTTTAGTACTTTAGATTATTAGGGATTATTAGGGTTTCGTTTCATTCTATTGCTTATATATTTTGTAATTCTTTTGATTAATCAAAAAAACACAAGTTTTGTCATCTGTTATCAGGAACCATTAAATTGATCTGGCGTGCTATCATAGTATATCATGTTGGGAAGGGTGGGCGTTGACCAAGTACAGCCCCCTATCCGAAGGTCTATAATTGCACAAAGTGGCTGCCCTCGGACTTGAAGCTACTGTTTCACACTTAAAATGGACAAAAAGCTAAATTATTTATTGAAAGAGAAACTTCTAATTAGAAAACAAAACAAAACAAAAAAAATAAATAAAAGAAACATAACCTGTCCAAGAAATTAAAGTAGCCAAAACCAGTTAAGAACCATTAGAGAGCATGATCTCACCCGATCTAAGAAATAATGGGCGACCTTGGGCAGCATACATATTTCATTCCTCCGATTGTATGTGGCTTGTAAAGCTCCGTCCTTCCACAACTCCTCAACAACCGGTGCATATGCATGTGAAGCAGCTGGAAAAATGACTTCCAAATTGCCTGATATCATCTCTTGGAGAAGCCAATCAGAGAATGCTTTCAATCTTGGATTGATGGAATAGATATTTTTTTCGTCAATCTGACCACCACTCCCTGTTGTTAATAACTAAACTTTCAGAGTCTACTCAATTATTTAAAAACATATAAATAAAAAGAAAAGAAAAGAATCCTAATTTCAAGATATTTGAGTTGGATGCAACATTTTGTTAGCTTGATGATAATTTGAAATTTAACAATGAACTTAATTACCAAACAGATGTGTCTAACCTTGAATAAAAGGAAATTGTGGAAACCAAGTATCAAAAGGTTTTATGACAATATGTAATTATAACAAAGGAGGCCAAAGCTATTTATGTAACTAGTTGTTTGCAAGCGTTTTTGTAAAATGTCTGTCGACAGGTGCACAAATCAGACTGTGACGTGTGGCAACAAAGTCATAGTCAGGGTGCATATTAATCAGAGGATTATGTGGCAAGGAAATGGTAGTGACATGTGCAATACAGCAAGAGCATGTCATGGGCTAAGATTGTGGAGCAATTGCAAGCTTTATTGGAGATCATGAGCTAATTTCTAGGAGATGCTGATGTTACTAGGAATTTTCTCTGTCAGTCATGCTCAATAGTCGAAGGAAAATTGGGTGATGATGTGGCTGGAGATTTAAAAGTAAAGCTGGGACAAAGATAAAGAGTTTAAAGAAGCAAAGGAGTTTGCAAGTAGTTATGGATTTTAGTAAATTGGTCTCCTCTGTCGAAGGTAGTGCTAGAGATCATGGGAAACATGTGGCAAGTCTGTGTGAAGTGCTGGAGAAAGATGAAGAAGCAGTTGCAGCAATTAGGGGAAATGTTGGCCAGCGAATTTCAAGGAACGTGGGATCATGTGCTAGAGTTTCAAGGGAAAGTATAAAAGCTGAAAGTTTGCAGGGAGAAAGGACATCAACAACACTTAGCTTTTATACTTAGGAGTAGTTTTTGCAAATTAGGAGTAGTTTCTTCTGTAATTCATAGTTTGTAACTTGGTGAACTTTAGTAGTTTCATCTTAAATTACTTTTTGTTTATTTCTTTTCCCTTGTCAATTGTAATTTGTTCCAAAGAAGTCCTTATACTTTCAAGGCAATTTCAATCAAATACACAGTCGCTTGATTTGTTTGTTCAATTGTTTGTGTGAATTATTGTTTAATTCCTGTCGATTGAGAATAAACATAATTTTTACTAACACGTATATTCTTCCAAAATCTAATTCACCAGCACAGTAAGCATCACAAAATAATAATAATAATAATAATGGTCAACGGCAGGGGTGTAAATTTGGCCCGGCGCCCACTCGGGCCGGGGCATGGGCCTCGTAGGCTCCCGCCAAAATTCGGGCCGGACCGAGCCACAGGCCGGGAAATTAGGCCCAAACCCAGGGCTATTAGGGCCTTGGGAGGGCCGGCGGGCTTGGGCCGGGCCTGAACAATTTTTTTTTATTTTTTTCTCCAAAATTTTATTTTTTTTCCACCAAAAATGACACTGGGCCTCTGGCCAGACTTTGAGTGGCCCTTGAGCGGGCCGATGAGCCGGACCCACAGGCCATGGTCCCAGGCTTACTCCGGGCTGCAGGCCATTTTTACACTCCTAGTCAACTGTAGAAATTTAATGTATAAAGAGAAATAGAGAATTGTATTATTGATTGATTTATATTGATGTCTATTACAATGATTCATGATTCCTATATATAGAAGAGGGTGAGTGTGTAGTAGGTAAGGAGTAGGTGAAGTGGAGGTGGTAGTGGTGTAGTGGGTTAGGTTTAGTGGAGTAGGTGAGGTGGTAGTGGTGTAGTGGGTTAGGTTTAGTGGAGTAGGTGAGATGGTAGTGGTGTAGTGGGTTAGGTTTAGTGGAGTAGGTGAGATGGTAGTGGTGTAGTGGGTTAGGTTTAGTGGAGTAGGTGAGATGGTAGTGGTGTAGTGGGTTAGGTTTAGTGGAGTAGGTGAGATGGTAGTGGTGTAGTGGGTTAGGTTTAGTGGAGTAGGTGAGATGGTAGTGGTGTAGTGGGTTAGGTTTAGTGGAGTAGGTGAGATGGTAGTGGTGTAGTGGGTTAGGTTTAGTGGAGTAGGTGAGATGGTAGTGGTGTAGTGGGTTAGGTTTAGTGGAGTAGGTGAGATGGTAGTGGTGTAGTGGGTTAGGTTTAGTGGAGTAGGTGAGATGGTAGTGGTGTAGTGGGTTAGGTTTAGTGGAGTAGGTGAGATGGTAGTGGTGTAGTGGGTTAGGTTTAGTGGAGTAGGTGAGATGGTAGTGGTGTAGTGGGTTAGGTTTAGTGGAGTAGGTGAGATGGTAGTGGTGTAGTGGGTTAGGTTTAGTGGAGTAGGTGAGATGGTAGTGGTGTAGTGGGTTAGGTTTAGTGGAGTAGGTGAGATGGTAGTGGTGTAGTGGGTTAGGTTTAGTGGAGTAGGTGAGATGGTAGTGGTGTAGTGGGTTAGGTTTAGTGGAGTAGGTGAGATGGTAGTGGTGTAGTGGGTTAGGTTTAGTGGAGTAGGTGAGATGGTAGTGGTGTAGTGGGTTAGGTTTAGTGGAGTAGGTGAGATGGTAGTGGTGTAGTGGGTTAGGTTTAGTGGAGTAGGTGAGATGGTAGTGGTGTAGTGGGTTAGGTTTAGTGGAGTAGGTGAGATGGTAGTGGTGTAGTGGGTTAGGTTTAGTGGAGTAGGTGAGATGGTAGTGGTGTAGTGGGTTAGGTTTAGTGGAGTAGGTGAGATGGTAGTGGTGTAGTGGGTTAGGTTTAGTGGAGTAGGTGAGATGGTAGTGGTGTAGTGGGTTAGGTTTAGTGGAGTAGGTGAGATGGTAGTGGTGTAGTGGGTTAGGTTTAGTGGAGTAGGTGAGATGGTAGTGGTGTAGTGGGTTAGGTTTAGTGGAGTAGGTGAGATGGTAGTGGTGTAGTGGGTTAGGTTTAGTGGAGTAGGTGAGATGGTAGTGGTGTAGTGGGTTAGGTTTAGTGGAGTAGGTGAGATGGTAGTGGTGTAGTGGGTTAGGTTTAGTGGAGTAGGTGAGATGGTAGTGGTGTAGTGGGTTAGGTTTAGTGGAGTAGGTGAGATGGTAGTGGTGTAGTGGGTTAGGTTTAGTGGAGTAGGTGAGATGGTAGTGGTGTAGTGGGTTAGGTTTAGTGGAGTAGGTGAGATGGTAGTGGTGTAGTGGGTTAGGTTTAGTGGAGTAGGTGAGATGGTAGTGGTGTAGTGGGTTAGGTTTAGTGGAGTAGGTGAGATGGTAGTGGTGTAGTGGGTTAGGTTTAGTGGAGTAGGTGAGATGGTAGTGGTGTAGTGGGTTAGGTTTAGTGGAGTAGGTGAGATGGTAGTGGTGTAGTGGGTTAGGTTTAGTGGAGTAGGTGAGATGGTAGTGGTGTAGTGGGTTAGGTTTAGTGGAGTAGGTGAGATGGTAGTGGTGTAGTGGGTTAGGTTTAGTGGAGTAGGTGAGATGGTAGTGGTGTAGTGGGTTAGGTTTAGTGGAGTAGGTGAGATGGTAGTGGTGTAGTGGGTTAGGTTTAGTGGAGTAGGTGAGATGGTAGTGGTGTAGTGGGTTAGGTTTAGTGGAGTAGGTGAGATGGTAGTGGTGTAGTGGGTTAGGTTTAGTGGAGTAGGTGAGATGGTAGTGGTGTAGTGGGTTAGGTTTAGTGGAGTAGGTCTAGCTGCTATCCACAGGCGCTTAGGGGAAGGAAATGGTAGCAAGAGACGGCCAACACCATATATGGCTATAGCAAAGAAATGGAGTATCAAGCTCAATGGGCTAGGATTTAGACCAGAGAGTAAAGCCACTGGTCCTGTTGAACACACACCTCCAAGGCTCAAATAATCAAAACATGCTTCACGCATTTCCTTCCTTGCTTGATCAGGAGATGCACAAAACACCTTATACAGGGCTCCAGTCATTCCTCCACCAGTTAAAGGATGACGCATGTTGAAAGCATCACCTATTAATAGTGCTCCAGGAGTAGGGTAAGGAGCAGCTGGCATACTTTTATTGGGCATTGTTCTAATATTTCCCTTATCAATTGCAGCTATAAATGAATCATGCAGCTCAGGTGGAACCTGGGGAGCCACCAGAGGGAAGCAAAGCCGAAGGCTGCTGCAAAGCCGAAGGCTGTAAAAGCGAAAAAGGAAAAGAAGGCTCCGGCTAAGACAAAAGCTGCTGCGCCAAAAGCTAAAGCCGCTGTGAAGCCCAAGCCAGCGGCAAAGGCCCAAGCTAGCGGCAAAGGCCCAAGCCAGCGGCAAAGGCCAAGCCAGCTGCGAAGCCAAAAGCTGCTGTGAAACCGAAGGCTGCCGTGAAGCTGAAAGCTGCAGTGAAGCTCAAGGCTGTGGCGAAGCCCAAACTAAAGCCGAAGGCGAAGGATCCTAACAAGAGGCAAATGAGCATGGAGGAGAAACATAGATTGAGTGTTGGGTTGCAGAGTTTGCCCCAGGAAAAGATGCCACAGTTAGTGCAGATTATGAAGAAGAGGAATTCACATTGGCCTCAAGAGAGAGGATTTAGGCAGTGATGGGAAGGTATGTGTAGAAAATAAGCGGAATAGGTTGAGGTCCGGCGGGCGGCCAAGGCGAGGTTGCCGCCCGCCGGTGAAACGAAAAATACTAAGTGCTTAACCTTGCTCTGATACCATGTAGAAATTTAATGTATAAAGAGAAATAGAGAATTGTATTATTGATTGATTTATATTGATGTCTATTACAATGATTCATGATTCCTATATATAGAAGAGGGTGAGTGTGTAGTAGGTAAGGAGTAGGTGAAGTGGAGGTGGTAGTGGTATAGTGGGTTAGGTTTAGTGGAGTAGGTGAGGTGGTAGTGGTGTAGTGGGTTAGGTTTAGTGGAGTAGGTTTAAGTGGGTGAAGTAGGTGGAGAGTAGGTGGATTTTAACATCAACAGATTCTATAACATATTTATTAGTAGTAAAAACATATATAGAAGCAATGCACCCACGGAGAATCTGTTGACTCTATGATAGGCTAGTCAAAAGTAAAATGAACATGAAGTTCAAGCTTTTGTTATTCACAAGAGTTAATAATATTCATCACAGATATTTTGCTGCCCTATCTTTTGTTGGATGGATATTTGGATCACCAGACATGCCACTATGAGAATCTTAATATATCCACTCGAATGAGCTTTAAGCACAAGAATACCAAAAGAACTCAACTCTGCCAGTGAATAAACTGTTTTACGCCCTTTAAGGTTGGGCATGATTATTGAAAGAACTTTTGCAATGAATGATCTTTATAAGGTCTCTGGATTATTACCCTTTCAAAAAGAAAGGGAAAAAAGATACAATCTTGAAAACCTTTTTCACGCATCTACAAACTCTTTACCAAATTTATCAACTATTAGATGGAGAAATGGTAATATTGTATATAAGCTGAATAGAAAAGAGAACTGTAAAATAAACTCTCCTCATACCTGAAGGACCAGGTTTATCAATGCTTTTTTTCCTCATTTCAGTTAAACATTCTTCCTCAAATCGTTCACGTGCCTCAAGAAGTATTACAAGATAACCATACAAACTGCTCTGGATCATGGGTTTAATATTTTGACGCTCATCTTCAGAGAAACAGACATTATATACCATCCTGGCCTGAAAAGCACACAAATTAGTCAGTCACCAAATTTATCCAATTGAACCAAAAAATACTACCTCACTTGATAGTGGGTAAAGAAACTTTGAGCAATAAATAGGCAAAATAATTACTATATATACAAATTTTGCATGTGTATATATGTATGCCTATAAAGGTTGGTATCATGAAATGCTATTTCAAGTCCACTTCAATACCATCATGTTTAATGGATCATAATGTAGAACAGTGTCAAAAACTTAAAATGAATACACTAACAATTACAGTCATTTCTCTTTGGAATGTCTACTAATTTTAGCAATCAATTTCTGAAATTGTTGTCTGTCTCATATCATAATCTCCCTTCAATTAGACGCCATAGAAGTGCCATGCAAGAAGTTTGGGATCTATCAATAAATTGTATGGATATATGACATATAAAGTTTTGAACACTATGAAACAAACATTATTACTTTTTTCCCTTGGAAGAAAATTGAAATAACCAAATGATATCATTTATGTTGTTCTATAGGTGCTTAATTATCATTCATTTGTTCTTTTCTAGAGTTAAGTTTCTTGTAAGATCTTATGCTCCTGCAAATGCAAAGGTCAGATGAAGCATAGAAAATACATAACCAAATTGAAAATTGAAATAACCAAATGACAGAGAATCATTTATGTGGTTCTACGGGTGCTTAATTATCATACATTTACACTTTTCTAGAGTTAAGTTTCTGGTAAGATCTTGTGCCCCTGCAGATGCAGATGCAGATGCAAAGACCAGAGGAAGCATAGAAAATACCTATAGTATTGTGCAAAACAAAGCCGTTGAGCTCTATGATATTGACTATAGCTATAGTTACTGTGAATGAATGAAAAACAAGTAGAAGATGAAAGCTAAATTCTTCCAATACCTGTTTGAATATAGTACTTGTCCCCGATTTATCATAACCAACTAGAAGAAATTTGTTTAGTGTTTTCTGTGCAAGGTAATTCGGTACAACTCCATTGCCAAGATTGACAACTTCTTTCCCAGAAGAATTCGCATGCTCAGGAGGAATTGGCAAAGACAAGAGGGCACAAACTAGCTTGGTTCCAGTCTGGAAAGAAGGTAATTGAATATCCGACAATTAAGATAAATTACAAAAAAAAAACACACGAACGGACAACCACACTCATACACACCTTGTCCCATAATTTTCTTCTCCCCGTCACATTATTCTGTCCCTCTTCCTGGTAGGAACCATCTTTACTTAACCATAAGTGAAGGTTTCCTTCACACAAGATTCCAGAAAACTGCAAGATTCAGTAGATACGAGTTTGATTACATCATTACATACTTTCCAAAACCCGTAATTCAACAGAAGTAAATCATATTCAGCACTCAAACCTGCAGCATCCGGAGCTCTGCTTTTGTAATTTCCCGATTGTTTATCAATATATTTGTGTTTCCATTGCTAGCATTTCGCTTAATAGAATCTCCAACTTCCAGTTGAGCGCTAATAATCTGGCAGGGCTTCTGTCCTTCCTATTTGATTGAGCTAAAAACATTAATTTTATCATGGCATAACATAATTATACATATACATTATATATATATATATATTTAGAGAGAGAGAGAGAGGAGTCACACCTTTCCCCAAAATCCAGATATCTTATCATACCAATACATTCCTGGTTTGAGCTTTTTTGGTGGGTTCGGACAGGTTTGCAACCGAACCAACTCTTCATGACAAAGAGGCTTACCATTCACATATACAACCTCAGATGGTAGCTGATTTGCTTCACATGATATCTCAGCTCGCATAATCTGTTTCACATTCAAATCAGTGAGCAATTGCTTAAGCCCCCAGGAACATTTTCCCAGGGTACCCCGCCTTGACTCATGAACGGGAGAACTAACACAAGTAATACATTTTCTTCCCTCAGGCATTGATCCCATTGCCCTGAGCACACAATTACTGCAATATCTAGCACCGCAAACAATGCAGACTACCTTCTCAGTGAAACAACTTCCCTTGAGGCATCGATGACATAAACCTTTCTTGACATAAACAATTTGTGGCTCATCCTGATAAGTCCCCTCGTGAACTATTATATCACTTGATTCAGGATCAAAGGAAGTCATGGCTGACATCATATTGACATTGCAGGGAGATTCATCACTGCAATCCTCCCCTTTGCCACAAGAAATCTCAGAGACCAAATTTATTGATTTACATGAAATTACCATGATCCCCCAAGAACCAAACTGTGCCTGAACCAACAAATTCACCCAAATCGGATGCCGAATTCGGGGGCACAGCAGCTTTAGAGCCCAATTTCAACTCCTATGACAATTTATTGCTTGAAGAATACTCATCATTGAAGCTGTGGAGACAACCAAAGCAGCTGGGATTTGATCAAAATTGACAGGAACTGCCTAGTCATGTTGCTAGTCATTCAATTCAAAGACCCTAACAACCCTAGTTTCACAAACCCATGAAGCACAACACTCAAAATGAGCAACAACACTCACTACAGGTCTTTCTTAGCTCAAAACAAAGCAAATGAGAGGCTTCATCAACTGTTTCGTCCCCAAAGCCTAGACCTAATCGTTGAGAAACCCAAGAGAGCAGTGAAATGGAAATGGAATTTGGTGAATGATATAAAAATGCCATGAAAGTTGCAATTATTAATAAGAAGAATTGCATGGTCCTTGACTTACCAACAAAGACTGAGACTTGAGAGAAGACAGTAACGACCACGCCAGACATCAAAGTTCTTTTTTCTTTTTCCCTTTTTTGGTGGAAAATTTCCAGGAGAGTGATGGGAGACAGAGAGAAAATGCAAAGAAAACTCGGCTAAAGTGGAAGTACTTTCCGTAAGAGGAATGACAGCAGGAATTTGCAACCACTGGACATCCTAAGGTTTTCTCTTGATCAATGCGTTTTCTTGGTGGAAATTTTCTAGGAAAGTGATGGGAAATAGAAAATGCAGTGAAAATAAGACTCCCTTTGTAATCGCTAGTTCCTATCTCATCTTTTAACAAAATCAAAGATCGTTATTTTAACGATACATTAACGCTGTGTTTGGGTTGCGTGATTCGGAGAGAAAAGAAAAAAAATAGAGTGACATGTATTCTTTTTATTTGTTTGAATAATTTAAATAGAAAAAATAGAGAGAAATGGATTTCTTTTATAAGTCTCATTTTCAATCTTTCCAAAAGTTGAGAGATTATAAGAGAAAAGAAATCACTATTTTCATAATGGGTTTTTTTTTTAAGGTCCCTGGTATTATGATTTTATAACATAAAGGACATCAAATATTTTTATAATATCTAAGGTCCCTCAATAATATTTTCATAATGTCTAAGGTCCCTCAACCTTGATCCAGAGAAATTTCAGTCTAGAGAAATTTCAGTCCAGAGAAATTTGGTCCAGAGAAATTTCAGTGCAAAGAAAATTGGTCAGAGAAATTCTGGCCCAGCTGGTTGTGGGTAAGAATGGCGGTGGGTTTGACTGAAATTTGTCTGATATATGTTTAGGACCTTAGACATCAAAAAATAATTTTGTGGACCTCTTCCATTACGAAAAGTGGGAGAGGGACCCTAGACCGATTTTCCCTTTCATAATACTAATTTTGTCCCTATAAAAATAAAAGAAATAAAATGATTGAAAATATAAAAAGGTTATTTTGGTAATATAACATAAAATAATTTGCTTTCTTTTTTCTCAATGAAATCTAACCAAACAAGAATGAGAGAAATCACAATCATTTCTTTTCTTTTATTTCTTCCTTATTCAAACAAAAAGGAAAGAAATCACAATCATTTCTTTTCTTTTCTTTTCTCTTATTACTTAAGTAATCCTTTCTCTTTTTTTTCTCTCTTAGGTTCCCAAATATAGTGTAAGTTCCTATCTCATCTTTTAACAAAATCAAAGATCGTTATTTTAACGATAAATTATAGATTTGTTTAAAATGTAAAAAAAATAAAATAATTATTAATGATTAATGTCTCGTTTGGAAATATATTATTTTAATAATTTTTTAACTTTTTAAAAAATATATATATAGAAAAATAGAGAGTAATGTAACAATTTATAGTGATTTTTTGATATTTTAGTTAAAATATATAGTTGACAAACGAGGTTTAAGAATATTATTTATTATAAGATTATAAATTTGAAGGAATGAGATGTAAATTTTAAAATTATATCATGGGAAATTTTATTTACATACCAAAATACATATCATTTGTTTTGTTCTGATATAATTTTCGAGTAAAAGGTAAATGTTTAGACATATATTGATGAACAAAAATAAATTGTTTAAATGTTTAACTATTTATGTCTGAATAATTACTTTTTATTATAAATTTACTAACATAATTATTATAGATTTGTTTAAAATGTAAAAAAAATAAAATAATTATTAATGATTAATGTCTCGTTTGGAAATATATTATTTTAATAATTTTTTAACTTTTTAAAAAATATATATATAGAAAAATAGAGAGTAATGTAACAATTTATAGTGATTTTTTGATATTTTAGTTAAAATATATAGTTGACAAAAGAGTTTTAAGAATATTATTTATTATAAGATTATAAATTTGAAGAAATGAGATGTAAATTTTAAAATTATATCATGGGAAATTTTATTTACATACCAAAATACATATCATTTGTTTTGTTATAATTTTCGAGTAAAAGGTAAATGTTTAGACATATATTGATGAACAAAAATAAATTGTTTAAATGTTTAACTATTTATGTCTGAATAATTACTTTTTATTATAAATTTACTAACACAATTACCCGTGCTATTCACGGAGTATAAATAAATAATTAAAAATTAATTTTTAAGATTGAATAATAATCTAAAAAAGTTATTTACAATATTTAGTAAAAATGATTTAGAATCAATTAAATTTTATTTATTTTTATCACAGTTACATATAAAACTTTTTATTTTTATTTTTTATTCTTATGTCATTAATTGTGTGCTATAAGTTCTTAATTACAAATACATGTCATAGTTTAATTGTTAAAAATTTAAAATAAATCACAAAAATTATATTTATGATAAAATATAAATACATTTCATCTTATGAGTTCCGTAAATTTAATTTTTCATATGATAGTGGTAAATTATAGGGTAAATTAGTCTAAAGTCTCTCTCTCATTTTTAGTAATGGAAGAGATCCACAATATTATTTTTTAATGTCTAAGGTCTCTCCCATCTATCATAGAGAAATTTGATATATATTTCACACTCTCTGTGTCTCTCTTCCGCTGCTCTCTTCCACTCTTCCAAATCCCCAAACTCAACCTTCTTCTTCGATATCACTTTCTCCTCCAATTCAACCTCATTGACGTGTCATACGCCCAGCGAGCTCAATTTCATCAATGGAAGCTTCGGAAGGTTCTTAAGCTTATCAAACCATCTTATATTATCGACTGGTTAAAAACCCTTAGGTTTAGGCCGTTCATTGTTGGTTCTCTTCTTGTTGAGCTCTGGTTTTGCTTCGCCTTTGGAATTGGGTTGCTTTAAAAGCTTGTTTCGCTACGATTTTTTGTTGGGTTTGAGATGGCCGGTTTTGCAAAAATCGGAATCGTCAAAGCCGCCGGAGAAGCTTGAAAGAGAAGCAGAGAGGTCGATTGAGGAGGCGAAGGAAACGATGTCGGATTTCAAGAGCTCTAAGTCTTGACTGCATTTTGGTTTCTTGGAATTTGAAATTGCCGTTTTTGCCAGAGCAGAGCTGTGATGTGAGGTTTTAGGAGTGACAAGTCTATGGAGACTCTCTTTGCAAACTATGGTTTAATTGAATCAATTCGCAGCAAATATTGTTAAGATAAATGGGTCAAATTTCTCTGGTAAAGGATTTGGATTTTCTCTGGCTTCACATAGAAAGGATTCTATAGAAGCAAACAATTTTGTTCAGAGAAATTTCAATTTTCTCTGGAGAGAAAAGAATTTTCTCTAGTGAGCACTTTACTTTGGTTGGGTACTATTAGTATATATATTACACTTCTCATTCTTCATGTTCTATTCAACTGATAAAGGATTTGATTGGTAAAGGATTTGGAATATTCTCTGGTTTCAATTTTCTCTGGTACAACATTTTGAATTTTCTCTGGTAAAGGATTTGAATTTTCTCTGGTTTCACGGAGAAAGGATTTTCTTTGGGGTTGAGTAAATTTCTCTGGAGTGGACTAAATTTCTCTGGTTTGTATTTGTGATTATTGTGTAAATAGAAAGGGAAATTTCTCTAGAGATAGGGAAGGCCAGAGAAATTTCCAAAATTTCTCTGAAGAGTGGGAAGGTTAGGGGAAGGTCAAAGAAATTTTCAAAATTTCTCTAAAAAATCCAGAGAAATTCTTCTCTGTTGAGATTTTCTCTATGACAAAATAGGTAGAGTTGAATCTGCTGTTTTATTGATATGATAAACTGCCCCAAAGAAATTCTCTCAGTCCAGAGAAATTACCTTCCAATTCAGAGAAATTCACAAAAAGTTAGAGAAAATTCCCTTCCAGTCGAGAGAAATTCACAAAAACTCAAAGAAATTTGGAATTTTCTCTGTGATGTGTCCAGAGAAAATTCGATGAAATTCTCTAGATCGAATTTTCTCTGAATTGATGTTGAGGGACCTTAAACATTATGAAAATATTGAGTGTCTTTTATATTATAAAATCTTAATACTATGGACCTTAAAAAAAAAAATCCCCTAAAGTATATTTGTCAATATATTAATTTTTTCATATTTTGTAAAGTCTAAAAATTTGTCTTATATTATAAGATTTACAAAAAAATGGATTAGGATTCACTTGTGATATTAAATTTAGGCTTAATATTAGATTTACGATAACTTGTCCTTCACCTAATCATTAAAAATTGTCTTAGTCTATTCCTAACCTATATGAATCATTTGGCCTATCTATTTATTAAATTAGTAAATAGATATTTGTAAGTATTTTATATAATAAAAATAAGAAATATGGACATATTTTATGCTTACTTATTAAAAAATTTAAACTAGTTTTAAAAAAAAAAACACTATATATTTATGTTTAAAACAATTAAATGAATAGTTATATATATTTATGTATGAAAAAATTATCTAATAGGGCCACCTTAAATTGTAGGTCATATTCTAATCCTAATAAATTTAAATTTTATATTTAAATTATATCATAGTTTATTAGTTCGTGACTAATATGAGCTAATTTAGGGATTCTAATATTGGATTAAACACTAAAAAGTAGTAAAGAAAATTTAGTTTGAATCGATTTTTTGGCCAATAATTCTTGATTTAAGCTTAGTTCTTGAAGAATCGTCTAGTTCATGTTCAATCCATGAGTTAGTAGACCCACCTATTTATTTAATTTTTAATTAGTAAATATATTTTTTTTTAAAAATTATATCAAAAATAGAAAATATGTACATATTTGTTTGGTATATTTATTAACAATTTTAAAATTGATTAAGAAATTATGTACTTATTCTTAAAATGATAAATTACATTGGT